GTTTGAACAAAAAATCAGTAAATCTCCAAAGTGTTCTTGGTTTGCCTCAGGGTTTAGCAGCTTCTCTGTCTCGGGTTTTGGACCAAGACACGATCAAAACTGACGTAAAACACAAACAAAAATGTGACGATTCTTTTGTTTTGTGATATTTAGGCCACGATTCAACATTATTATTGTTGCGACACAGCAAGTAGCAACCACAGTAAATAAACAAGAGAGAAGACACAGAAAAACACCTTTTTAAACCTGGAATTGAACATTTTCAGAATAGAAGCCTGTCTCATATTTTCAGACAGACTGTTCCAGATTTTAGCAGTATGGATCTGAAATGCAGCCTCCCCATGTTTAGTCCTGACTCTGGGACCAGCAGTAGGCCAGTCCCTGTGCTCCTCAGAGTTGGTCCCTATAGCACTAACATGTCTTCAGGCTTTTGTAACATGTCATTTTAATGGTTTTGTTTTTGCTTAGACTGAAACTCCTGATCGACCAGGAGAAGGCGTACCAGGAGCGGAAGGAGGAGGAGCACGACCTGAAGCTGTCCGGCCTGAAGGAGGAGCTCACCAAACTCAAGTCCTTTGCGTTGATGGTTGTGGACGAGCAGCAGCGTCTCAGCGAGCAGCTCCGACTACAGAGCTCCAAAGTGCACGAAGCCACGGCCTCAGCCAGCCAGGCCCAGGAGGAGCTGAGTGCGAGCCTCTCACTGCTGCAGCAGGAGCAGGACAAGGTCAGACCTGCTTTAGACTTCACACACACACACATGTCAGAGAGATGAGAGGAGCAGGAGGAGCAGGAGGAGCAGGAGGAGCAGGAGGAGCAGGAGGAGCTGAGTGCGAGCCTCTCACTGCTGCAGCAGGAGCAGGACAAGGTCAGACCTGCTTTAGACTTCACACACACACACATGTCAGAGAGATGAGAGGAGCAGGAGGAGCTGAGGGAGCAGGAGGAGCTGAGGGAGCAGGAGGAGCAGGAGGAGCTGAGGGAGCAGGAGGAGCAGGAGGAGCTGAGGGACCAGGAGGAGCAGGAGGAGCTGAGGGACCAGGAGGAGCAGGAGGAGCAGGAGGAGCTGAGGGAGGGGGGGAGGTGGGGAGGGAGGGAGGGGGGTAGGTGGGGAGGGAGGGAGGTGGGGAGGGAGGGAGGGAGGGAGGGAGGTGGGGAGGTAGATTATGGATGATGAATTAGTTTGATTAGTTTGATGTGTAGTTTGAATATTAAAGCTGCGGTACGTAACTTTCGAACCATGAAACATTACCAATGCCGTACATCTCTCGCCCTCTAAACAGATGGATTCTATCAAGTCAGAAAAGTCAGAAAAGTCAGAAAAGAAAAGACCTCACTCAGCCCAAAGAGTCAAAAAGTGACTCCCAGGGATCTTTCATACATACGATGAGACCACATGTTTGTAATGACCGTGAGACCGTGAGTGTGACGAGGACCTGACCCCGACTGGACATAGCCGTGACGTTGCCTTCTGCAGTGCTGCCGATTGGAGGAGCAGCTGCGTGACCAGGCGTCCCGTCACCACGCCGACGCCGACGCCATGACGACCAAACTCAGCCTGGAGGATGCACACAACCGGGCGCTGAGGCAGAAGATGTCCGCCCTGAGCCGCACGCTGGACGAGCTGCAGGAGAACAACAAGACCCTGCGGCGGGCGGAGGAGGAGCTGCTGGAGCTGAGGGACAAGATCAGCCGCGGGGAGTGCGGGTAAGACCACCACCCACCGCCGGGGGGGATGGCCGGGGGGAGTGCGGGTAAGACCACCACCCACCGCCGGGGGGGATGGCCGGGGGGAGTGCGGGTAAGACCACCACCCACCCCGCCGGGGGGGATGGCCGGGGGGAGTGCGGGTAAGACCACTGCAGAGGGGAGTGTGGGTTAGACCACTGCAGAGTGGGGGTAAGAACACTGCAGAGGGGAGTGTGGGTAAGACCACTGCAGAGGGGAGTGCGGGTAAGACCACTGCAGAGGGGAGTGCGGGTAAGACCACTGCAGAGGGGAGTGTGGGTTAGACCACTGCAGAGGGGAGTGTGGGTAAGACCACTGCAGAGGGGAGTGCGGGTAAGACCACTGCAGAGGGGAGTGCGGGTAAGACCACTGCAGAGGGGAGTGTGGGTAAGACCACTGCAGAGGGGAGTGTGGGTAAGACCACCGCAGAGGGGAGTGTGGGTAAGACCACCGCAGAGGGGAGTGCGGGTAAGACCACTGCAGAGGGGAGTGTGGGTAAGACCACTGCAGAGGGAGTGTGGGTAAGACCACTGCAGAGGGGAGTGTGGGTAAGACCACCGCAGAGGGGAGTGCGGGTAAGACCACTGCAGAGGGGAGTGTGGGTAAGACCACCGCAGAGGGGAGTGTGGGTAAGACCACCGCAGAGGGGAGTGCGGGTAAGACCACTGCAGAGGGGAGTGCGGGTAAGACCACTGCAGAGGGGAGTGTGGGTAAGACCACTGCAGAGGGGAGTGTGGGTAAGACCACTGCAGAGGGGAGTGTGGGTAAGACCACTGCAGAGGGGAGTGTGGGTAAGACCACTGCAGAGGGGAGTGTGGGTAAGACCACCGCAGAGGGGAGTGCGGGTAAGACCACCGCCGGGGGTCTGAGTGGAGCATGGATGGAGCTAAACACAACTGCAGGTCTGTGTTGATGAGCGCTGTGTGGAAATCTCTCTCTTTCTGGAATGAAACGGGTGGCAGAGGAATGAGTTCTCAGGTTTAAAAACAGGCATTCTGACACAATCAGCGGGTGAAAGACAGATCCTGGCAGAGCTCTGAAGCTAAGCAGGGTGGGGGGGTGGCAGTCAGAGCTGCACCCAGTCCACAGAGCACCAGCCCCTCACTGATCCTCCTGCAGGTTCTGAGTCCACAGGAGGATGGCCACTCTATGGCATAGCCTTGAACTTTCAGTGGGGGCTTCAGGCAAAGTGGGGTTAAGTGTCTTGCCCAAGAACAACGACAGCAGTCATCAGTGGGAGTCGGTGGAGAAGGTCTCATGGTGGGCTCGAACCCACGACCTTCAGGCTCAAGATTCAAGATTCAAGATTCATTTATTGGCCATGTGCAGTTAAAAAAACCACATTGGAATACATTCGCAAGAAAGGCACTCCGTGTGCACCGACAGAACAAAAACACGACACAATGCAATACAAAACACACATACACTGAACATAAAACAATAAAAAAAACAGCTGACACTGTGGCACCGATCGACAAAACAATACAGGGGTAAAAGCAGTTTAAAAGCAGGTAAAAGCAGAAATTAAAGTGCTCTGTTTAGGCATCTAACAGCCTGTGGGAAGAAGCTGTTAGCATAGCGAGATGTCCTGCATCTCAGCGACCGATATCTTCTGCCAGAGGGAAGAAGCTGGAACATGGCTTTCCCAGGGTGGCCAGAAGAGTCGTTGATGATTTTAAGAGCTTTGTTTAAAAGTCTGGATCTGTAAAGAACCTCCAGAACAGGAAGCTCACAGCCCACGGTCCTCTTTGCAGAGCGGAGCACCTTGTTTAAAGCTCTCTTTTCTTTATCTGTGATGTTTCCAAACCACACAGACACAGAACCAACAAGTAAACTCTCAATGGTGCAGCAATAAAAGTTCAGCAGAATCTTAGAGTTAGTGGTAAATTCTCTAAGTTTCCGCAAAAAGAAGAGCCGCTGACGAGCTTTCTTAACAACCCGGTCAGTGTTTTTAACCCATTTCAGGTTAGACAGAGTTAAGCCCAGAAACTTGCTCCTCTACGATCTGCACCTGGGAGTTGTCAATAACAACAGGAGTGTGAGAACTGCTACGACTGAAGTCAAAGACAAGTTCACATGTTTTTGCAGTGTTCAGCTGGAGATTGTTTACTTTACTCCACTGAAAAACATGTTCGATCTCTGCTCTATAAGAGGATTCATCAGTGTCACTGATGAGACCGATGATGGTGGTGTCATCAGCATATTTGATGATCAAGTTTGAGTCAGAGGAAGACACACAATCATGAGTGTACAAAGTAAAAAGCAGAGGACTCAAAATACATCCCTGAGAAGAACCAGTGCTCACAGAAACAACATCAGAAAAACAGTCATTGATTTTTACTCTCTGAGATCTGTCAGTTAAAAAGCTAAAAATCCATTTACACATGGCAACATTCAGACCAAGGGACATTAGTTTTTCAACCAATATGCTTGGGACAAGACAATTAAAAGCAGAGCTATAATCAATGAACAGCATTCTCGCGACAGATTTACTAGTGTCCAAATGAGTGTAGACAGAGTTCAGAGCAAAGGAGATGCATCCTCCACACTCCTGTTCTGTCTGTAGCAAACTGGAGCGGGTCAACACTCACAGGGATCTGGCTCTTAATGAAGAGGCTCAAAGGCCAATGCTCTACCAACTGAGCCACCGTCGCCCTCGGATACGTTTCATTTCTACATAAACTTTGGGCTATTCTTATAATTTCTCTAATTTACATAAAGCCTTGGTCTTTTCACTTTTCTGTTATTCAGAAATAAAGAAAAAACCTCCAGTGCCTAATGGGTCAAAGGTGTATCTTCTGGACTGTATAAGAAGTACATGTGAACATGTAGATATGTGCAGATGGTGTTTCCTGTATTATTATGGCATCAGGTTCTGTTTTGGTTCCAGACCCACATGTGGCAGCTCCAGCCTGGTCTCGGAGCTGGAGGAGCTCCGGAAGCGAGTGCTGGAGATGGAAGGCAAGGACGAGGAGTTGGTCCGAATGGAAGACCACTGCCGGGACCTCAACAAGAAGCTGCAGAAGGAGTCCGTCCAGGCCCAGAACCTCAAAGCAGAGGTGGACAAACTCAACGGGCGCATCATGGACCTGGAGAAGCTGGAGGATGCCTTCAGCAAGAGCAAACAGGAGTGCGGCGCTCTCAAAGGCAGCCTGGACAAGGAGCGCACCGTGTCCAAGCTGCTGTTGGGCGAGCTGGAGACCCTGCGGGGCCGGGTCCGGGAGCTGGAGGAGGCCGAGACTCAGCTGGCCCAGAGCGAGACGGGACTGAAGGAGGATCTCTGCAAGTTAAAGACACTGACCGTGATGCTGGTGGACGAGAGGAAGGCGGCGGGCGAGAAGCTCAAGCAGATGGAGAACAGGGTATGGGACGAGACACACACACATGCTGACTCACACACACACACACACACACACTGACTCACACACACACACACACTGACTCACACACACACACACACACACACTGACTCACACACACACACATGCTGACTCACACGCAAACACACACACACACACACACACTGACTCACACACACACACACACTGACTCACACACACACACTGACTCACACACACACACACATGCTGACTCACACACACACACACTGACTCACACAAACACACTGACTCACACACACACACACACTGACTCACACACACACACACATGCTGACTCACACGCAAACACACACACACACACACATGCTGACTCACACGCAAACACACTCACACACACATGCTGACTCACACACACACACTGACTCACACACACACACACACTGACTTACACACACAAACACACACTGACTCACACACACTGACTCACACACACACACACACACTGACTCACACACACACACACACACAAACACATACTGACTCACACGCAAACACACTCACACACACATACTGACTCACACACACACACTGACTCACACACACACACACTGACTTACACACACAAACACATACTGACTCACACGCAAACACACACACACTGACTCACACACACACACACACACACACATACTGACTCACACGCAAACACACTCACACACACACACTGACTTACACACACAAACACATACTGACTCACACGCAAACACACACACACTGACTCACACACACACACACACACTGACTTACACACACAAACACACACTGACTCACACGCAAACACACACACACACACACATACTGACTCACACACACATACTGACTCACACGCAAACACACACACACACACACACACACTGACTCACACACACACACACACACACACTGACTTACACACACATACTGACTCACACACACACACACACTGACTTACACACACATACTGACTCACACACACATACTGACTCACACGCAAACACACACACACACACACACACACACTGACTTACACACACATACTGACTCACACACACATACTGACTCACACACACACACACGGAATCACATACGCACAAACTTCCCACTATGAAAACATACTTCTTTGGCTGTTGTCAAAGCTGTTGTGTATTTCAATTCAATGTTATTTAATCTTATATTTTGTGTAGCCATAATTCACAACAGTTATCTCGGGGGACTTTACAAAAAAAGGTCAAATTCGCCAACGCTGATCAGAGAATAATCAGTTCAAACACAAGAAATGCAATGATTAAAAAACGACCATGTCCATAAATGTTGATTTAATAATAAACAAATCCATTTCTCCCCCCTCTGGTCTCCTGCAGGTCCACAGCAGCACGGGGAAGCTGCAGGCCGAGCAGGACAAAGTGACCACGGTGACGGAGCGCCTGATCGAAGAGAGCAGGAAGGCTCTGAGGTCCAAGGCCGAGCTGGAGGAGCGGGTTTGCGGCGCCGTCAGGGAGCGCGACGACCTCCGCACCCAGCTCAGCAACGAGGAGCAGAGGAGCGCCGACCTGGAGTCCAAGATCAGCCTGATGAAGAGAAGGCTGCAGGCGCTGGAGACCGTGGAGCGGGAGTATCTGCGGAACAAGGCCTCGGAGAACATCAAGGGCCCCGTCACCAACCGCTTCCAACAAGAGGACAACAAGGTGAAGGAGCTGACGCAGGAGGTGGAGCGGCTGCGGAGCAAGCTCAAGGTCAGCCACGTTCACACTGTTCAGAGTAATCATGAACACGTTCACAGTGTTCAGAGTAATCATGAACACGTTCACAGTGTTCAGAGTAATCATGAACACGTTCACAGTGTTCACAGTGTTCAGAGTGTTCAGAGTGTTCAGAGTGTTCAGAGTGTTCAGAGTGTTCAGAGTGTTCAGAGTGTTCAGAGTAATCATGAACGCGTTCAGAGTGTTCAGAGTAATCATGAACACGTTCACAGTGTTCAGAGTGTTCAGAGTGTTCAGAGTGTTCAGAGTAATCATGAACACGTTCACAGTGTTCAGAGTAATCATGAACACGTTCACAGTGTTCAGAGTAATCATGATAATACTTATATCTGACTTCACTGGACACTGTTGCAGGTTCATCAGAAAGATCACATAAACAGGAAAGTTTAGGACGGTTTCAATGTTTTAAGTTCTCAAGTGAGTCCCTGAAGTGTCGTGGGAGTGAAAGTGGTCCTCAGGGTTCAGACTCGGTCCTCGGGGTTCAGACTCGGTCCTCAGGGTTCAGACTCGGTCCTCGGGGTTCCGACTCGGTCCTCGGGGTTCAGACTCGGCCCTCAGGGTTCAGACTCGGTCCTCGGGGTTCAGACTCGGTCCTCGGGGTTCAGACTCGGTCCTCGGGGTTCAGACTCGGTCCTCAGGGTTCAGACTCGGTCCTCGGGGTTCCGACTCGGTCCTCTGGGTTCCGACTCGGTCCTCGGGGTTCAGACTCGGTCCTCGGGGTTCAGACTCAGTCCTCGGGGTCCAGTCTCGGTCCTCAGGGTCCAGTCTCGGTCCTCAGGGTTCAGACTCGGTCCTCAGGGTTCAGACTCGGTCCTCGGGGTCCAGACTCGGTCCTCAGGGTTCAGACTCGGTCCTCAGGGTTCAGACTCGGTCCTCAGGGTCCAGTCTCGGTCCTCAGGGTCCAGTCTCGGTCCTCAGGGTTCAGACTCGGTCCTCAGGGTTCAGACTCGGTCCTCAGGGTTCAGACTCGGTCCTCGGGGTTCAGACTCGGTCCTCGGGGTTCCGACTCGGTCCTCGGGGTTCCGACTCGGTCCTCTGGGTTCCGACTCGGTCCTCGGGGTTCAGACTCGGTCCTCGGGGTTCAGACTCGGTCCTCGGGGTCCAGTCTCGGTCCTCAGGGTCCAGTCTCGGTCCTCAGGGTTCAGACTCGGTCCTCAGGGTTCAGACTCGGTCCTCAGGGTTCAGACTCGGTCCTCGGGGTCCAGTCTCGGTCCTCAGGGTTCAGACTCGGTCCTCGGGGTCCAGTCTCGGTCCTCAGGGTTCAGACTCGGTCCTCAGGGTTCAGACTCGGTCCTCAGGGTCCAGTCTCGGTCCTCAGGGTCCAGTCTCGGTCCTCAGGGTTCAGACTCGGTCCTCAGGGTTCAGACTCGGTCCTCAGGGTTCAGACTCGGTCCTCAGGGTTCAGACTCGGTCCTCGGGGTTCCGACTCGGTCCTCGGGGTTCCGACTCGGTCCTCTGGGTTCCGACTCGGTCCTCGGGGTTCAGACTCGGTCCTCGGGGTTCAGACTCGGTCCTCGGGGTCCAGTCTCGGTCCTCAGGGTCCAGTCTCGGTCCTCAGGGTTCAGACTCGGTCCTCAGGGTTCAGACTCGGTCCTCGGGGTTCAGACTCGGTCCTCGGGGTCCAGTCTCGGTCCTCAGGGTTCAGACTCGGTCCTCAGGGTTCAGACTCGGTCCTCAGGGTCCAGTCTCGGTCCTCAGGGTTCAGACTCGGTCCTCAGGGTTCAGACTCGGTCCTCAGGGTTCAGACTCGGTCCTCAGGGTTCAGACTCGGTCCTCAGGGTTCAGACTTGGTCCTCAGGGTCCAGACTCGGTCCTCAGGGTTCAGACTCGGTCCTCAGGGTCCAGTCTCGGTCCTCAGGGTCCAGTCTCGGTCCTCAGGGTTCAGACTCGGTCCTCAGGGTTCAGACTCGGTCCTCAGGGTTCAGACTCGGTCCTCAGGGTTCAGACTCGGTCCTCAGGGTCCAGAATATATGAAATGTTTTGTGGATATCCTCATGTTCCAAATGAAAACCTTAAACGTGGCTTTTCTTCTGTAGGATCTGAAAGCGGTGGAAGGAGACTCGTTCAAGACGGAAGAGTTTGAACTTCTGGAGAAGCGCTTCGCGAGCGAGCAGGAGAAAGCCAAGACGTTGATGGAGGAGCTGGAGATCTCCAAGAAGGAACTTTCCAAATACCAGCTGGCAGAGAAGAAGGAGTGCAACCAGGAGACAGTGCTCTACAAGAGGCTGAAGGAGGAGGAGGCCAAGGCCAGCCACCTGAGCCGCGAGGTGGCCGCGCTCAAGGTTATTATAGTTTTACACAAATAATGCAAAGAGTTGGATTGTGCTGGAGCGAGAGCAGAGCTGTACCAATGACGGTCATGAGATTAAGTATACAGTACTATATTATATTCATATCAATGTGTATTTGTATCACAGTCATCTCAGAAGACTTTGGTCTCAGTACAGATGCAAACAGGAATACCATAATAACGTTGGACCATAGGGCGCCTCCTGCAGCAGCTGAAGGATGTTTCTTCACACGTGTTCTGTGATTGTGTCTGATGTTAAAGCCTTGTGTGTCTGTTTTGTTCTGCACTTTGAGGTGCTAGGTGTGTGAAAAGTGCTATACATATAAACCTGCCTGTTCCTTGCAGGAGAAGGTCCACGAGTACATGGGCACGGAGGACTCCATGTGCCGCATGAAGAGCGACCACTCGGGGCTGCAGCGGAGGCTCACGCAGCAGGAGGTGCGCAACAAGGAGCTGTCTCGGGAGATGGAAGGCCTGACGCGGGAGCTGGAGCGATACAGGCGCTTCAGCAAGAGTCTGCGGCCCGGCATGAACGGCAGGCGCTTCTCCGACCTGCACGTGGCAACCAAGGAAGTCCAGACTGTCCCTGAGGACTTCCTGCAACAAGCCATGGTACGACAGGGACTGCTGCGGGACTGATCTCACTGTCTCCGGTCTCTCTCTGGTCTGCTTCTGGTCTCTCTCTGATCTCACTCTGGTCTCTCTCTGGTCTCTCTCTGGTCTCTCTCTGGTCTCTCTCTGGTCTCTCTCTCTGGTCTCTCTCTGGTCTCACTCTGGTCTCTCTCTGGTCTCTCTCTGGTCTCTCTCTGGTCTCTCTCTCTGGTCTCTCTCTGGTCTCACTCTGGTCTCTCTCTGGTCTCTCTCTGGTCTCTCTCTGATCTCACTCTGATCTCTCTCTGGTCTCTCTCTGGTCTCTCTCTCTGGTCTCTCTCTGGTCTCTCTCTGATCTCACTCTGATCTCTCTCTGGTCTCTCTCTGGTCTCTCTCTCTGGTCTCTCTCTGATCTCACTCTGATCTCACTCTGATCTCTCTCTGGTCTCTCTCTGGTCTCTCTCTGGTCTCTCTCTGATCTCACTCTGGTCTCTCTCTGGTCTCTCTCTGGTCTCTCTCTGGTCTCTCTCTCTGGTCTCTCTCTGATCTCACTCTGATCTCTCTCTGATCTCTCTCTGGTCTCACTCTGATCTCTCTCTGGTCTCTCTCTGGTCTCTCTCTGGTCTCTCTCTCTGGTCTCTCTCTGGTCTCTCTCTGATCTCACTCTGATCTCTCTCTGATCTCTCTCTGATCTCACTCTGGTCTCTCTCTGATCTCTCTCTGGTCTCACTCTGATCTCTCTCTGGTCTCACTCTGATCTCTCTCTGGTCTCACTCTGATCTCTCTCTGGTCTCACTCTGGTCTGCTTCTGGTGTCTCTCTGGTCTCTCTCTGGTCTCTCTCTGGTCTCTCTCTGGTCTCTCTCTGGTCTCTCTCTCTGGTCTCTCTCTGATCTCACTCTGATCTCTCTCTGGTCTCTCTCTGGTCTCACTCTGGTCTGCTTCTGGTGTCTCTCTGATCTCTCTCTGGTCTCACTCTGATCTCTCTCTGGTCTCACTCTGATCTCTTTCTGGTCTCACTCTGGTCTGCTTCTGGTCTCTCTCTGATCTCTCTCTGGTCTCACTCTGATCTCTCTCTGATCTCTCTCTGATCTCTCTCTGGTCTCACTCTGATCTCTCTCTGGTCTCACTCTGGTGTCTCTCTGGTCTCTCTCTGGTCTCTCTCTGGTCTCTCTCTGGTCTCTCTCTCTGGTCTCTCTCTGATCTCACTCTGATCTCTCTCTGGTCTCTCTCTGGTCTCACTCTGGTCTGCTTCTGGTGTCTCTCTGATCTCTCTCTGGTCTCACTCTGATCTCTCTCTGGTCTCACTCTGATCTCTCTCTGGTCTCACTCTGGTCTGCTTCTGGTCTCTCTCTGATCTCTCTCTGGTCTCACTCTGATCTCTCTCTGATCTCTCTCTGATCTCTCTCTGGTCTCACTCTGATCTCTCTCTGGTCTCACTCTGATCTCTCTCTGGTCTCACTCTGGTCTGCTTCTGGTGTCTCTCTGGTCTCTCTCTGGTCTCTCTCTGGTGTCTCTCTGGTCTCTCTCTGGTCTCACTTTAAACAAATGATTTTGAATCCAAACAAACCAGAAGTGTGGTCCCTGTGTCCACCACTAGGTGCCGCTCGAGTGTGCCGTGGTCAATGGGAAACTGTACGACGGGCATGAGGAGAGCGCGGTCTTCTCCAACGGCCTTCAGTCTGATAAACACACGCTGAACAAGGTGAACGAGCGCACCAGCAGCGCCCGGCGAGCGCGCACGTCCAACGACCTGCCGCGGCAGAACAGCGGCGGGGACGTGGTATGGAGCCCAGGACAGCCCCTGACCATCAAGGTGACCCCCGACCACGGCCACACCACGGCCATGTTGGAGATCTCCAGGTGAGGACGCACACCTGCAGTGGTTTTTAGATCCATCCACGCTGACATCAAGGACTACACGTCCCCCCAACCCTTCTGTCCCTAACCCAGGCATGTCCAAACTCAGGCCCGGGGGCCAATTATGGCCCTCTGTGTCATTGTATGTGGCCCTCTGTCTTGCTGACCCAAAGTAGTCTTTGAGATCAAAAACACAAGCTCACTGTGTCATCCATCCAACTCCAGCTCAGCCAATATAGACATATCATAACCCGTTCTAAAGCCCACTCTGTCGTTGACTTTATTTGGATATATTTTACTGACGTTGTTTTGATTGTGTCACAAACATCTGTTAATGGTTCTACTGTCAATGGTGCGACGGTAAACAGTGTCATTCAGCCAACTTCAGCTTTGTTATAGATCCTTTTAAAACTCAGAACAGCCCGATGCCAGTCAAGACAGTTTTCCAGTCTGTGATGAGGGCCCTGGACTAGTCTGAACCAGAAGAAGACTGATACTCTGGTTTATCTGGCCATACTTTCTGCTGCTACAGTAAACATGATTATTATTATATTAATTATTATTAATAATTATTATTATTATGTTAAATAATAGATCCTGTTTGATGTGTGCAACCTGAGTGCTCTTATTTCTCCTTCTATTCTGCTGTAATATTCTCGACGGGTCATCCATCCATCCATCCATCCATTTTCTACCCTTTAATCCATTTCTGGGTCAGGGGGTCTCATAGCAGCAGCCCCTCACTGACCCTCTGCAGGTGGTGAGTCCACAGGAGGCTGCTCTCTGAGTGAGAGCATAGCCTTGATCTTTCTTTCCTCTCGACGGGTCAATTAAATTAAATATAATCCTAAATCACGTATGAGGACTAGACAAAACCGTTGGATTTTCCAACACAGATCAGAGAATCAAAAAAAATGCGATGATAAAGAACACACAGAGCCAATGTCTGTAAACGTGGAATGTAGAGAGTCCTACTGGTTTATCTGATCTCATCTCATCTGAATATTATCTCTTCCCGCAGCCCCACGTCCGACCCCCCGGCGTCCTTCACCAGCACGGCCGTCATCCCCACCACCGGAGCGCCCGCCAAGCCTCGCATCACCATCATCCAGAGCGCGTCCCCAGCCCACCCCAGATGCAGAGCGCCCGATGAGCCGCTCTCCCCAGACCGCAGCGACTCCCCCTTCTCCGGGCCCACAACCCCCGAGCGTGCTGCTTCCCCTTTGGAGAACACCACCACCGCCGCCGCCAACACCACCACCGCCACCACCACTGCTACCGCCACCACCACCATGGGACCGGGCCACGCTTTCTTCCGGGTGCAGAGGTCCGACAGCCAGGGCTCCAACGTGATCACGGCGGAGGACAACAAGATCCACATCCACCTGGGGCCTCAATTTCTGCAGGAGCGGCGGACTCTGGGCAGCTGCGGCGCCGTGTCCACCCCCCCCATGTCGCCGGTGAGGGGCAGCGGCAAAATCACCAGTAGTTTAGTGATAAAGCCGAGCTCCAGCCCCGTGCAAAGACCCGCACAGGTGACAGTAAGTAACGCTTTTAACTGACGTACTCCCATCCATCCCCCCCGCCCCTCTGGTCATCCTGGTACGCCGAAAACCTCACTCCTCCTCCTCCTCGAGCCGTGTCTTCTTCTTCTGTTTTATTTTCTGTTTTGTGCTTGGTCACGTGTGAAGTGAACTCTAAAAGAATAAACAAGGAGACATATTATGGCGTGCGAGGGCATTTGCTATTCGTTCTTTTTCATCGTATTGGCGCAGAAACGCCTACTCTGGGTCAGAACTGCAGACGTGATAAGCCCCGCCTCCTCATGCCTGTGGGGGGAGGGGCAAGGTGGTGGGTGAAACAGACTATTTTTCGTAAGCACCGAAGCCTCAACAAGACGACGCTCAAACAGGCAGGAATCAAACGGGAACATGGCTGTGACGACGTTCAGCTGAAATAATATGTCTCCTTTGTCTGTGTTTCTGCATGAGCACAAATGGTCACATCACATCGCTGCTGCAGACGCACTGACCGCCTCCTGCTCCTGGTTTTACGGTCAAACACCGATCCTGGATCAGCCGGGTCGGAGGCTACGCCGCTAACTACTGCTGCTCATGCTTTTTTTATTAATGCATTTATAAATGTCCAATCTGTTTGTAAAACTGTGCAGTAGAAATTATCTGGTCTCTCTCTGGTCTCTCTCTGGTCTCTCTCTGGTCTACCTCTGGTCTCTCTCTGGTCTCTCTCTGGTCTCTCTCTGGTCTCTCTCTGGTCTACCTCTGGTCTCTCTCTGGTCTCTCTCTGGTCTCTCTCTGGTCTCTCTCTCTGGTCTCTCTCTGGTCTACCTCTGGTCTCTCTCTGGTCTCTCTCTGGTCTCTCTCTGGTCTACCTCTGGTCTCTCTCTGGTCTCTCTCTGGTATCTCTCTGGGTCTCTCTCTCTGGTCTCTCTCTGGTCTCTCTCTGGTCTCTCTCTGGTCTCTCTCTGGTCTCTCTCTGGTCTCTCTCTGGTCTCTCTCTGGTCTCTCTCTGGTCTCTCTCTGGTCTCTCTCTGGTCTCTCTCTGGTCTACCTCTGGTCTCTCTCTGGTCTCTCTCTGGTCTACCTCTGGTCTACCTCTGGTCTACCTCTGGTCTCTCTCTGGTCTCTCTCTGGTCTCTCTCTGGTCTCTCTCTGGTCTCTCTCTGGTCTCTCTCTGGTCTCTCTCTGGTCTCTCTCTGGTCTATCTCTGGTCTACCTCTGGTCTCTCTCTGGTCTCTCTCTGGTCTCTCTCTGGTCTCTCTCTGGTCTCTCTCTGGTCTCTCTCTGGTCTCTCTCTGGTCTCTGTCTGGTCTACCTCTGGTCTCTCTCTGGTCTCTCTCTGGTCTCTTCCTGGTCTACTTCTATTATCTCTCTAGTCTCTTTCTGGCCTCTCTCTGGTCTCTCTTTGGTCTCTGTCTGGTCTATCTGGTCTACCTCTGGTCTCTTTCTGGTCTACCTCTGGTCCTCTCTTTTTTTCTTTTCTGTAAAAGCCCCAAAACATGCAATTACCAAAACTAGTGACAGAACCAAACCATCTTACACTTCACTGGGAATAAACACTGTAAATGCAGAGCATGGAGGCCCTCAGTGCGTCTACAGCAGGATCCACCCCCCCCTCCCCTACAGTGTATGTGATGCCATTAGCCCCTCCCCCTCATGACGTGCACCTACTGTACTTGCTGTAAATGGACTCTTTTCTACGTTTTGTTGTTGTTGTTGTTGTTGTGGTGTGCTACTGTGGTCCGCTCTCTCGCCAGCCCCTGACCGCACGATGTGATTGGTCGCTGGGGAAAACAAAGTGATCTAATACGAGTCTATATTTTTTATCAGTGTTTGGATTGTATGTTGTATGTGTTTTGTTCTGACGCATGCCCAGTAAAGAATGAGCAGCGACTCACTGAACCCGGTCTGGTCCATTTCTCAGTCAGACGAACCTCCACAGCCTCAGTATGACTCAGAACCAAGGACCAATCAGGACCAATCAGGACCAATCAGGAGACACTATCACGCACTGTGTTTTAGGAATGCTATTTATCTGCTCACACACAGTCACGGGAGAGATGTTTTCATACTAACCCTGTGAGTCAGAATTTGACTCTTTGGGGCAAAAGCTGACATTTTCAGTTTTCTGTCTGAAGAAGCTCTCTCTGGTCTCTCTCTCTCTGGTCTCTCTCTCTCTGGTCTCTCTCTCTCTGGTCTCTCTTCCTCTGATATTTCTTATTCTGGTCTTTCTCTGGTCTCACTCTCTTCTCTCTCTGGCCTTTCTCTCTTTGATATATTTCCAATCTCTCTCCCTTGGGTTTCACACTCTCTCCGTTCTCTCTCTAGAGTCTCTCTCTCTCTCTCTCTCTCTCTGGTCTCTCTCTCCGTTCTTGTGAGACCAGAGAGTGAGACCAGAAAGAGAGACCAGTGAGAGGCCAGAGAGAGAGACCAGAGAGAGAGACCAGCGAGAGAGACCAGAGAGAGAGACCAGAGAGAGACCAGAGAGAGAGACCAGCGAGAGAGAGACCAGCGAGAGAGAGACCAGAGAGAGAGACCAGAGAGAGACCAGAGAGAGAGACCAGAGAGAGACCAGAGAGAGACCAGAGAGAGAGACCAGAGAGAGACCAGAGAGAGACCAGAGAGAGACCAGAGAGAGAGACCAGAGAGAGACCAGAGAGAGACCAGAGAGAGAGACCAGAGAGAGACCAGAGAGAGACCAGAGAGAGACCAGAGAGAGAGACCAGAGAGAGACCAGAGAGAGACCAGAGAGAGAGACCAGAGAGAGACCAGAGAGAGACCAGAGAGAGACCAGAGAGAGACCAGAGAGAGCCAAGGGAGGGAGACCTCTACAACATCCTGATGAATACAAATTTAAATAGAGGAAAATTCAGATCAGAATTCCATTGACTTTGGGAGTAACAGAAGTTACAAACTGGACATTATCTTTGGTAAAAGATGCAAATAATTTATTACAATTAAAAATGTATAAAGAGAGAAAACATGTTGCTTTTATTGTGTCTAAATTTCCTGACAGAGAAAAGAAAGGGCGGCGAGTGCACGAGTTTGAAGATGAAGCATTTAGACAGAAGGGGAGGGGGGACAGTGTATGTCTGTGTCTCGTCCAGAATCACAGGACTTTATAAAGTTGTGGATTCATCAACAACAGATCAGAAAATCAAACTGTTTTCAACACAAGAAATGCAATGATAAGATACATATGGTCTCTCTGGTCTCTCTCTGGTCTCTCTCTCGGATCAAACTCTGGTCTCTCTCTGGTCTCTCTCTGGTCTCTCTCTGGTCTCTCTCTGGTCTCTCTCTGGTCTCTCTCTGGTCTCTCTCTGGTCTCTCTCTGGTCTCTCTCTGGTCTCTCTCTGGTCTCTCTCTGGTCTCTCTCTGGTCTCTCTCTGGTCTCTCTCTGGTCTCTCTCTCTGGTCTCTCTCTGGTCTCTCTCTGATCTCTCTCTGGTCTCTCTCTGGTCTCTCTCTGGTCTCTCTCTGGTCTCTCTCTGGTCTCTCTCTGGTCTCTCTCTGGTCTCTCTCTGGTCTCTCTCTGGTCTCTCTCTGGTCTCTCTCTGGTCTCTCTCTGGTCTCTCTCTGGGGTCTCTCTGGTCTCTCCAATCAAACTTATAAACAATGTGCTGAAGAAATAATCTTATTAGTTGGAAAAACACTTAAAAGTAACAAAAATACTCCATAAAACCAGAGATAACAATAAGTGTGTTTATTTATTGTGTGTTCACAAAAACATACAAACAACACAACACCAGTACAACCTCACTATGGCTGATGTTGTGGATGTGCTTCACCCTCGGGCGGCGAGTGTCCTGCACCAGGAAGAACCATAAAACACCCAAACAAAGAAGTGTTTGGGGGTCGCCGTGGCAACAGCGGCGACGTCATCCGGAATCCGACCCCAGAGACAAAAGCTCGACACGCATCTGTTCAGGAGAACCCAACCTCAACTCATGGTTATGAAGTGAAATACTGGAAGTACTGCATCTATATACTTGTACTGCAGTAGTGTGTCATGGTAGTACTACATCTATATACTTGTACTGCAGTAGTGTGTCATGGTAGTACTACATCTAAATACTTGTACTGCAGTAGTGTGTCATGGTAGTACTACATCTATATACTTGTACTGCAGTAGTGTGTCCTGGTAGTACTACATCTATATACTTGTACTGCAGTAGTGTGTCCTGGTAGTACTACATCTATATACTTGTACTGCAGTAGTGTGTCCTGGAAGTACTACATCTATATACTTGTACTGCAGTAGTGTGTCCTGGAAGTACTACATCTATATACTTGTACTGCAGTAGTGTGTCCTGGTAGTACTACATCTATATACTTGTACTGCAGTAGTGTGTCCTGGTAGTACTACATCTATATACTTGTACTGCAGTAGTGTGTCCTGGAAGTACTACATCTATATACTTGTACTGCAGTAGTGTGTCATGGTAGTACTACATCTATATACTTGTACTGCAGTAGTGTGTCATGGTAGTACTACATCTATATACTTGTACTGCAGTAGTGTGTCCTGGTAGTACTACATCTATATACTTGTACTGCAGTAGTGTGTCCTGGTAGTACTACATCTATATACTTGTACTGCAGTAGTGTGTCCTGGAAGTACTACATCTATATACTTGTACTGCAGTAGTGTGTCCTGGAAGTACTACATCTATATACTTGTACTGCAGTAGTGTGTCATGGTAGTACTACATCTATATACTTGTACTGCAGTAGTGTGTCATGGTAGTACTACATCTATATACTTGTACTGCAGTAGTGTGTCCTGGTGGGTACTACATCTATATACTTGTACTGCAGTAGTGTGTCATGGTAGTACTACATCTATATACTTGTACTGCAGTAGTGTGTCATGGTAGTACTACATCTATATACTTGTACTGCAGTAGTGTGTCATGGTAGTACTACATCTATATACTTGTACTGCAGTAGTGTGTCATGGTAGTACTACATCTATATACTTGTACTGCAGTAGTGTGTCCTGGTGGGTACTACATCTATATACTTGTACTGCAGTAGTGTGTCATGGTAGTACTACATCTATATACTTGTACTGCAGTAGTGTGTCATGGTAGTACTACATCTATATACTTGTACTGCAGTAGTGTGTCATGGTAGTACTACATCTATATACTTGTACTGCAGTAGTGTGTCCTGGAAGTACTACATCTATATACTTGTACTGCAGTAGTGTGTCCTGGAAGTACTACATCTATATACTTGTACTGCAGTAGTGTGTAATGGTAGTACTACATCTATATACTTGTACTGCAGTAGTGTGTCATGGTAGTACTACATCTATATACTTGTACTGCAGTAGTGTGTCATGGTAGTACTACATCTATATACTTGTACTGCAGTAGTGTGTCATGGTAGTACTACATCTATATACTTGTACTGCAGTAGTGTGTCCTGGTGGGTACTACATCTATATACTTGTACTGCAGTAGTGTGTCCTGGTGGGTACTACATCTATATACTTGTACTGCAGTAGTACTGTACTTTCCGCTCTTCACAGTTGCAAATGTAGTAAAGAAAACCAGTATAAAATGGTTAGCCGTGCTTCTAAGTTCACTATCTGATGTTCCTTAAAGACTTGAAAAGAACAGTATTTATCAAACGAGATGGATCCTAAAAAAACAATAGTAACGTGCACGTGGCCTTTTCATGTGCACGTGCACAGACCAGAGTGTGAGGGACCCCTACTGGTCAGTGTTGGTACTACTGCCCCTAACCCTTTAATGCTCACTGCTGTTTTTATTTTAGAAGATCTACAGTAGGAGCGATAATAACACAACTGTTTGTTTTGTTTTTTGAACCCCTAGTTTTTAAATTGCTTTTAAACTTCAACAAATGAGCTGCAGTATGATGTTAAAAGTGCCAAAATAATCATTCCATAAATAATAGTACTTCCATTACACACTACTTCCATAAATAATAGTACTTCCATTACACACTACTTCCATAAATAATAGTACTTCCATTACACACTACTTCCATAAATAATAGTACTTCCATTACACACTACTTCCATAAATAATAGTACTTCCATTACACACTACTTCCATAAATAATAGTACTTCCATTACACACTACTTCCATAAATAAGCAGCACCACTTGTGTCTAGGCCCCGGGGGACTGAGATTTCATCTCTCTCCAAGAACTTATAACACACACACACAAATATAAACACACACACACACACACACAAATATAAACACACACACACACACATATATAAAGACACACACACACACACACACACACACACACACACAAATATAAACACACACACACACACATATATAAAGACACACACACACACACAGCAGCTCTAACCAAGAGGGGGCGGGGCTTATCAGTTCTCTACTTTTTCTTCTGAACCAAAGAGTTTAGTTTAACACAAAATCACAAACATGAAATGAATAATATGATTGATCCCAGCTCCTCACAGCAGCAGGAGACGCTCCATTGATTTGAACGTCATTTCAAAACGTCCTACAGGTCATTATTTTGTATAAACGGACCTCTCTAAACAATAATGACGCTGCCCTTTGGCAACGCACTCTCTGATTGTAATTCATGTGTGTAGTTCAGCCACTCCGGAGCTAGCCACGCTCAATAAACGCAAATACCAATCAATCAACACACTATACTAGACTTATACCTTCAGGGCGAAGCGGACCCTGACCCGCAGCGGACCCTGACCCGCAGCGGACCCCGACCCGCAGCGGAGGGTTCAGGGTCCGCTGCGGGTCGGGGTCCGCTGCGGGTCAGGGTCCGCTGCGGGTCGGGGTCCGCTTCGTCCTGTCGGTACTTATTTTCCGATAATGACCTGCGTACGATACATTATCCTTTACATAAATGTCCTTCAAAGTGAAAGATCAGAGGACTAAAGCAGAGTGTGTGTTTTTCGCAGATCCCCCTCGAAGCATTCCGCCGCCCCGGGCCCACCAGGATCCCCAAACCCAGGAGCTCTGTCTCACACAAGGGCAGCTGCAGCGCCCCCTCTGGTGGACAGGCCACACTACAGGCAAGACAGAGCATCATCAACAACAACAACAACAGCAACCCCAACCTGATGAACCGCAGACTCTGACCTCAACCTGATGGACCCCCACCCCCTACTCTACTCTACCCTACTCTACCCTACTCTACCATACCCTACTCTACTCTACCCTACTCTACCCTACCCTACTCTACCCTACCCTACCCTACTCTACACTACTCTACTCTACCCTACCCTACCCTACTCTACACTACTCTACTCTACTCTACCCTACTCTACCCTACTCTACCCTACCCTACCCTACCCTACTCTACTCTACCCTACCCTACCCTACCCTACTCTACTCTACCCTACCCTACTCTACCCTACTCTACCCTACCCTACCCTACCCTACCCTACCCTACTCTACCCTACCCTACTCTATCCTACTCTACTCTACCCTACTCTACCCTACCCTACTCTACTCTACCCTACCCTACTCTACCCTACCCTACTCTACCCTACTCTACCCTACCCTACTCTACCCTACCCCACTCTACTCTACTCTACTCTACCCACCCCCATCCTACCCTAACCTACTCTACTCTACCCTACCCTACCCTACCCTACTGTAGTCTACTCTTCTCTTCTCTACACTGCTGTATTTCCATTGTGCTTTAGTATCTGGTACTGTATCCTAGCAACCTACCCACAACAACAAACTAGTATCTGCGGATATTCCTTGGTAACCATGGCTTCCAGGAGTACTCGGGCCAATCACAGCGAGCCACTTCTCGTTTGTGAAACCATTGATGCATTTATGGTTCTGGACAGTTTCTTTTGAGTGTGTGATTCTCGTGTTGAATGTACGGTCACTTTACCTCACTGTGGTGCTTCATCTGGAGTTTTCTTTATTAAAATAATCATTGAATCGGCCGAGGTCCAATGTAAATGTGTTTTAACAGATATGAAGGATATTAGTGGAGGATGTTGAAATGTTAATAAAGCTTTGTTCAAGTGGCAATAATGTAAATATAACGGATATAACTTTAAAGTCGAGAAAGCTGTCGTTATATTTGTGTTACACTTTTAGTTTTCAATAAAGATTTTTTTACATTGCTTTGTTTTGTGTGTTTAGTGTTTAGACGCGTCTGTAGGAAAAGCCCCTCTCTCACCTCTGGGCATGACTGAAAGGACGCTCCCATTCACACACACACAAAACTCACTATAACGTGGGTGTTAGAAGTGTCTTGCCTAAGGACACAGCAACAGTTTGGCACTTTACAGCCGCCCCACTGTGGCACCTGCTGTTCCCAGGTCTCCCATCACAGTACTAACTCGGCTCTGTCCTGCTTAGCTTCAGAGTTCTGAAAGGATCTTGTATTTGCAAGTGGTGCCTATAAAACTCTGTAGTCACATTTCACAGATTTCATGTTGATGAACACAAAATGGCTCACCTGGTCCACACCAGGTGTGGTCCTCTGGTCAGTGCGTTGCCACGGCGTCCATGGCGTCCCGCAGCGCACACAAGAACACACGTCTGTCGGCGCCACTGAGGGAGGCGCAGGTCCAGGAGCGACCAGGACCGTCCAGGACGAAGGCATGGGACACATCTGCACACATGGACCAGACATCCACATCAGAACCATGGACCATGGACCAGACATCCACATCAGAACCATGGACCATGGACCAGACATCCACATCAGAACCATGGACCATGGACCAGACATCCACATCAGAACCATGGACCATGGACCAGACATCCACATCAGAACCATGGACCAGACATCCACATCAGAACCATGGACCATGGACCAGACATCCACATCAGAACCATGGACCATGGACCAGACATCCACATCAGAACCATGGACCATGGACCAGACATCCACATCAGAACCATGGACCATGGACCAGACATCCACATCAGAACCATGGACCAGACATCCACATCAGAACCATGGACCAGACATCCACATCAGAACCATGGACCATGGACCAGACATCCACATCAGAACCATGGACCAGACATCCACATCAGAACCATGGACCATGGACCAGACATCCACATCAGAACCATGGACCATGGACCAGACATCCACATCAGAACCATGGACCATGGACCAGACATCTACATCAGAACCATGGACCATGGACCAGACATCCACATCAGAAACCATGGACCATGGACCAGACATCCACATCAGAACCATGGACCAGACATCCACATCAGAACCATGGACCATGGACCAGACATCCACATCAGAACCATGGACCATGGACCAGACATCCACATCAGAACCATGGACCATGGACCAGACATCCACATCAGAACCATGGACCATGGACCAGACATCCACATCAGAACCATGGACCAGACATCCACATCAGAACCATGGACCATGGACCAGACATCCACATCAGAACCATGGACCAGACATCCACATCAGAACCATGGACCATGGACCAGACATCCACATCAGAACCATGGACCATGGACCAGACATCCACATCAGAACCATGGACCAGACAACCACATCAGAACCATGGACCATGGACCAGACATCCACATCAGAACCATGGACCATGGACCAGACTTCCACATCAGAACCATGGACCAGACTTCCACATCAGAACCATGGACCATGGACCAGACATCCACATCAGAACCATGGACCATGGACCAGACATCCACATCAGAACCATGGACCATGGACCAGACATCCACATCAGAACCATGGACCATGGACCACACATCCACATCAGAACCATGGACCATGGACCAGACATCCACATCAGAACCATGGACCAAGGACCAGACATCCACATCAGAACCATGGACCATGGACCAGACATCCACATCAGAACCATGGACCAAGGACCAGACATCCACATCAGAACCATGGACCATGGACCAGACATCCACATCAGAACCATGGACCATGGACCAGACATACACATCAGAACCATGGACCAAGGACCAGACATCCACATCAGAACCATGGACCAAGGACCAGACATCCACATCAGAACCATGGACCAGACATCCACATCAGAACCATGGACCATGGACCAGACATCCACATCAGAACCATGGACCAGACATCCACATCAGAACCATGGACCATGGACCAGACATCCACATCAGAACCATGGACCAGACATCCACATCAGAACCATGGACCAGACATCCAGATCAGAACCATGGACCATGGACCAGACATCCACATCAGAACCATGGACCATGGACCAGACATCCACATCAGAACCATGGACCATGGACCAGACATCCACATCAGAACCATGGACCATGGACCAGACATCCACATCAGAACCATGGACCATGGACCAGACATCCACATCAGAACCATGGACCATGGACCAGACATCCAGATCAGAACCATGGACCATGGACCAGACATCCACATCAGAACCATGGACCAGACATCCACATCAGAACCATGGACCATGGACCAGACATCCACATCAGAACCATGGACCATGGACCAGACATCCACATCAGAACCATGGACCAGACATCCACATCAGAACCATGGACCATGGACCAGACATCCACATCAGAACCATGGACCAAGGACCAGACATCCACATCAGAACCATGGACCATGGACCAGACATCCACATCAGAACCATGGACCAAGGACCAGACATCCACATCAGAACCATGGACCATGGACCAGACATCCACATCAGAACCATGGACCAAGGACCAGACATCCACATCAGAACCATGGACCATGGACCAGACATCCACATCAGAACCATGGACCATGGACCAGACATCCACATCAGAAGAACCATGGACCAGACATCCACATCAGAACCATGGACCATGGACCAGACATCCACATCAGAACCATGGACCATGGACCAGACATCCACATCAGAACCATGGACCATGGACCAGACATCCACATCAGAACCATGGACCATGGACCAGACATCCACATCAGAACCATGGACCAGACAACAACCACATCAGAACCATGGACCATGGACCAGACATCCACATCAGAACCATGGACCATGGACCAGACATCCAGATCAGAACCATGGACCATGGACCAGACATCCACATCAGAACCATGGACCAGACATCCACATCAGAACCATGGACCAAGGACCAGACATCCACATCAGAACCATGGACCATGGACCAGACATCCACATCAGAACCATGGACCAAGGACCAGACATCCACATCAGAACCATGGACCAGACATCCACATCAGAACCATGGACCATGGACCAGACATCCACATCAGAACCATGGACCATGGACCAGACATCCACATCAGAACCATGGACCAGACATCCACATCAGAACCATGGACCAGACATCCACATCAGAACCATGGACCAAGGACCAGACATCCACATCAGAACCATGGACCATGGACCAGACATCCACATCAGAACCATGGACCAAGGACCAGACATCCACATCAGAACCATGGACCATGGACCAGACATCCACATCAGAACCATGGACCATGGACCAGACATCCACATCAGAACCATGGACCATGAACCATGGACCATAGTTCTCTCTGAAACAGCTTTGATTAGAACTGATCAGACCAAATCCAACCAAACGTCTGCTGCTTCATTCAGTCCTGGAGAAGGGTTCTGCAGCAGCACACATGGTACCTACAGCCCACCTGGTACTTAAACACACATGGTACCTACAGCACACCTGGTACTTAAAACACACCTGGTACCTACAGCAAACCTGGTACTTAAAACACACCTGGTACCTACAGCACACCTGGTACTTAAAACACACCTGGTACCTACAGCACACCTGGTGCTTCAACACACATGGTACCTACAGCACACTTGGTACCTAGAGCACACCTGGTACTTAAAACACACCTGGTACCTACAGCACACCTGGTACTTAAACACACATGGTACCTACATCACACCTGGTACCTAGTACCTACAGCACACCTGGTACTTAAAACACACCTGGTACCTACAGCACACCTGGTACTTAAACACACATGGTACCTACAGCACACCTGGTACTTAAACACACATGGTACCTACAGCACACATGGTACTTACAGCACACATGGTACTGTTGTGTGTGCTGTTATTAATATTCTTTAATTGTACATACTGTGTGTATCTTCATATGTGTAAAACTGGTTAATGTGAGCAATGGCAGGAAATCCACTTTATCTATAACGCACATTTCATAAACACAGATTCCAAAGTGCTGCACAATAAATTACAGTACTAAATAAAATCAATCCATTGTAAAACAGTAAAATAATAAAAAATCAAACATGTATAAATAAAAAATAACAATAAAAAGATGGAATAAAATAAAATAAACTAAAATGAAAATAAAAGGACCATACAACTCCTGCAGTGTTAAAAGCCAGAGACTTAAAACACATAGGATATGGGGGGGCAAAGGGGGGGCAGGGGGGGGCAGAGCGTTCCACAGCTTTGGTCCAGCCCCAGAGAAGGCCCGGTTCTAAGTCTCGTCCTCGGTACCACGAGCTGGAGCTGGGCCTTGGACCTCAGCGCAGGGCGGATGGTAAATTTGGATGAGGTCCGAGATGTAAGGAGGGGCCAGTTCGTTCAAAGCTTTAAAAACAAACAATTACATCTTAAAAACCTTAGATAAAAGTCGGAAATGATAAAAGCTTGATTTTAAAACGCAATTAATCTGCTTATCAAGTTTAAAATCACTTAAATCTAAATCATAGGTGACGTTTACAAAGACACTAGGACCAGCTGCATCTCACCAGCGTCTGTGTCCTGAGACTGCACATGTATGTCCTGCGGATGCATGAGACTGCACATGTATGTCCTGCGGATGCATGAGACTGCACATGTATGTCCTGTGGATGCATGAGACTGCACATGTATGTCCTGCGGATGCATGAGACTGCACATGTATGTCCTGCAGATGCATGAGACTGCACATGTATGTCCTGTGGATGCATGAGACTGCACATGTATGTCCTGCAGATGCATGAGACTGCACATGTATGTCCTGTGGATGCATGAGACTGCACATGTATGTCCTGCGGATGCATGAGACTGCACATGTATGTCCTGTGGATACATGAGACTGCACATGTATGTCCTGCGGATGCATGGGACTGCACATGTATGTCCTGTGGATGCATGAGACTGCACATGTATGTCCTGTGGATGCATGAGACTGCACATGTATGTCCTGTGGATACATGAGACTGCACATGTATGTCCTGTGGATACATGAGACTGCACATGTATGTCCTGTGGATACATGAGACTGCACATGTATGTCCTGTTGATGCATGAGACTGCACATGTATGTCCTGTTGATGAATGAGACTGCACATGTATGTCCTGTGGATGCATGAGACTGCACATGTATGTCCTGTGGATGCATGAGACTGCACATGTATGTCCTGTTGATGAATGAGACTGCACATGTATGTCCTGTGGATGCATGAGACTGCACATGTATGTCCTGTGGATACATGAGACTGCACATGTATGTCCTGTGGATACATGAGACTGCACATGTATGTCCTGCGGATGTATGGGACTGCACATGTATGTCCTGTGGATACATGAGACTGCACATGTATGTCCTGCGGATACATGAGACTGCACATGTATGTCCTGTGGATACATGAGACTGCACATGTATGTCCTGCGGATACATGAGACTGCACATGTATGTCCTGCGGATACATGAGACTGCACATGTATGTCCTGTGGATGCATGAGACTGCACATGTATGTCCTGTGGATACATGAGACTGCACATGTATGTCCTGTGGATGCATGAGACTGCACATGTATGTCCTGTGGATACATGAGACTGCACATGTATGTCCTGTGGATACATGAGACTGCACATGTATGTCCTGTGGATGCTGATAGCACTAAGTCTGAATTTGACTTGATGTATTCTGATTATGTCATTAATCTCTTTCTTTAAAACATTCCTCCTCCAACACTGCACTGGTTTGTGCGGGAAACCCCATACTACAGTACCTACAGCACACATGGTACTTACAGCACACATGGTACCTACAGCACACATGATACTTACAGCACACATGGTGCACAGCACACATGGTACCTACAGCACACACTGTACCTACAGCACACATGGTACACAGCACACATGGTACCTACAGCACACACTGTACCTACAGCACACATGGTACACAGCACACATGGTACCTACAGCGTGAGTGGTTGACCTCTCGGACGCTGAGGCCAGACAGAGCCACAGACGCCATGAAGCTGTGGGAGCGTGTCTGGGTCACGGTGAAGGGGACGTGGCGCTGGTCCAGACGGGTCAGCACCAGGGCGTCAGAGAACAAGAACAAACCCATGTCTGCGACCGGCTCCAGCGCTCTGCGGAGACACAAGACATCACCCTGAAAGAATCTTCAAGAACAAGGACCAGGAACACCTGGTGCCTGATGTTATAGATGTTAATAATAATAATAATAATATTGTTAGACTTGATGTTTCTGAGAGCAGGAGTTCTGACACATACAGTGGGGAGAAAAGAAATAAGTCAGCCACATACACTGTTTCTGGTATTTTGGCCCATTCCTCCGACAGACTTTCCACTTCCTGTTTCTCTGTTTTCTGTGGAGTTGAGATTTAGAGACTTGCTCCAGGACCTTGCTCCATACAAACTCACTTGGTCAAACTACTCTTTACCAGGGGTTGTTGTGGTCTTTACCTGAGGTTGTTGTGGTCTTTACCTCAGATTCAGATTCAGATTCATTTATTTGCCATTTGCAGTAAAACCACATTGGAAAAACTGTGCAAGACTACCCCGGTGTGCACCAGACAGAGGAGACGACACACACCAGAGCTCTTGCCACGGCGCCATCTTTACGGCGCCATGCGACAAACAGTAGAATAAACAGCAGAGAGCAATAACATACAGTTTCACAGACAGTTGGATAGACACATTGTGCCTTGTATAAAGCACGGATTTTTTCTCGGGATGAAGCACCTCCTACAGCCGGCCCAATGTGGCTGTCAGAGGGGGGCGGGGTCAGGGAGGGGGTGAGTCGGAAACACAGTGAGGAGTGGAGGGGAGGGAGGGAGCAAGATGGATAGAGAGGGAGGCGGGGGAGACGGGATCCGAGCTGGAGACTGAAGTGTGAGATTGTTGTAGATGGGGACCTTGTTATTATGGCCTTGGCCCGAGGAATGTGAGATAAGAGTAGAGAGAAGACACAGCAGGAGAAACACATCGCCTCAGGGGGACAATATTAAATGCAATGTCAGGCAGATATTCTATTAAATCCAATTAAACCGAATTACGGCGCCCTCAGACCCCGTACACAGGGGCAGATCCAAGCCGGGTCAGAGAGTTCAAGCCTGACACACAATGTCATTCAATCTCAACTCCAGAGTTTTATGTCCATCGAGTGAACGAGCTGCGAGGTCTTTAACCAACTGTTCCACCAAAACCACTCTCCTTTGTCCAGACACGGCGCTCTCAACCACGACGCGGCTAAGCTCCTTGTACATCCCATCAATTTTGTCGGCCAGCAGGTCGTGAATCTTGCGAACTGCCATGCCTCCGAATTTGTGGTAGAAGAGAACAGCTCCAAAACCAAACAGGAGGATTCCCACCACCAAAATGCCAAAGATATATACGTCTTCCGAATCTTCAATGGACAGGGTCGACAGACAGAGGGGCTGAAACTTGTTCCAGCTGTCAAGAGTATACCCCGCTGGTGAAGTCCCGTCCGGGCACACGGGCTCTCCAGACCCACGCTTACGTGTTGAAAAGATAGAATCAATTGCGTTGAGGGACCAGTTAATCATTTCCATTCTTGTTAAAGTTGTCTGTGGCAAAACTCCAGGAAAAAGACAAAAACAGGAGATAGCAAGCAACCTGGGATTGTTGCGATCTTTACCTGAGGTTGTTGTGATCTTTACCTGGGGTTGTTGTGGTCTTTACCTGGGGTTGTTGTGGTCTTTACCTGGGGTTGTTGTGGTCTTTACCTGAGGTTGTTGTGATCTTTACCTGGGGTTGTTGTGGTCTTTACCTGAGGTTGTTGTGGTCTTTACCTGGGGTTGTTGTGGTCTTTACCTGGGGTTGTTGTGGTCTTTACCTGGGGTTGTTGTGGTCTTTACCTGGGGTTGTTGTGGTCTTTACCTGGGGTTGTTGTGGTCTTTACCTGAGGTTGTTGTGGTCTTTACCTGAGGTTGTTGTGGTCTTTACCTGGGGTTGTTGTGGTCTTTACCTGGGGTTGTTGTGGTCTTTACCTGAGGTTGTTGTGGTCTTTACCCGAGGTTGTTGTGATCTTTACCTGGGGTTGTTGTGGTCTTTACCTGGGGTTGTTGTGGTCTTTACCTGGGGTTGTTGTGGTCTTTACCTGAGGTTGTTGTGATCTTTACCTGGGGTTGTTGTGATCTTTACCTGGGGTTGTTGTGATCTTTACCTGGGGTTGTTGTGGTCTTTACCCGAGGTTGTTGTGATCTTTACCTGGGGTTGTTGTGATCTTTACCTGGGGTTGTTGTGGTCTTACCTGAGGCAGTCCGGGAGCGTGTGGTCCGGGCTTTGGTACAGGACACAGAGGTGAGAGCTGAGGAGCTGACGAGTTCCTTCTGCAAGGTTCTAAAAGTCACAGACATAGGATCAAGAATACTGTGGGGAGAGAGGAGGAGAGAGGAGGAGAGAGGAGGGAGGAGGGAGGAGGGGAGAGAGGAGAGAGGAGAGATAGGAGGGATGAGGGAGGAGGGAGGAGAGGAGAGAGGAGAGAGGAGAGATAGGAGGGATGAGGGAGGAGGGAGGAGAGGAGAGAGGAGAGAGGAGAGAGAGGAGGGAGGAGGGAGGAGGGAGGAGGGGAG